GTTATCCCCGCATCTCATAGAAACTTTACATTCTTAATAAACGAACTGTTAGCTTTTTTTAACCATAAGTTATTATGTTCCACAAATTGCTTCGAATAGTCATTATTGCGTCTTCAAACTCTGATTAAAAGTTAAAACATAGCCACGATGATTACGTTCATGAGAAACAAACCGATTTCATTACACTACACCACACATCAATTATGCATGATTCAATTTTTGCCACAAGCCAACGCCAATCATCTTTAATAACACCTCTATAATTATTATAAAGTCTAATGCAAGCATAAAAAACTATGACATTTCCTTTTTTCATATCAATGTATCTTGATAAACATTATTTTTAGTATTATTTTTAATAATCTTTTTATAGTTAATTTGCAATAATTAATTCATTTTATATTTATTTTTATTTATTATTGTTACTAGTAAGTTTGTAATATTATTCAATTTTAGGTTGTTTTAATTATTAAATTTGTTTTATTATTTGAATTATGTCAGTCCAATAATTCATTGATCTTAATTTAATAATAATATTATTAATTAGTTTTAGTAGTACATGATCAGTAGGAGTTTAATTAGTGTAGATTAGTTATATATGGTCTCTAATGAGTTTATTATTAATATTATTATTATTATTATTATATCTTTCTTCCCAATTATTATTTTATATCATAAGAAAGAGGATCGCAGACTTCTTCTCCGATAATGGTGATGGATGATCCGATTGAAGAGCAGGACATTGAATGGAAGAAAATTTCCCATGGCTTCCCCTTAATCTTAGGCAAATTGTGTAGCTTCTTGGCTGGATGATTGAAGAAGAAGGAGAGGTTGTTGGGATTGAAGCAATATAAATAGAGGAGAATTTATGCAAGAGATCATCAATTCACCCCGGAGATTTCCGGCGGTTCGCGTAATTTCGATCCGCAATTCTGGGCGTGGCAACTTCTTTGTCGCAGCAATCTCCGTTCAACACATCATTAGCAATTTCTGGTTCTTTCTTTAAGTTTCCTCCTTAATTTGGATTTGTTGGTTTCTTCCTAGTTGTTAGCAGCAAGCAATATTGTTATTCTTCTTTTAATTCCCTTTCTTTCAATTTCAATTTGTTGGCCGTACTTTTAATTTGGCACATTGTTTTTCCAAGTTTTTCCCTTTCTATTCAATTCGTACTGTTTTTGTTCCTCTTCAATTCTTACTGCTAAATTTCGCAAAGACTCTATTAAATTGCTACTTTTGTTTAATTCTTTAATTCCTAAATTGTGAGCACACTATTCAGTTCTTAAACACCGTGCTAATTCTTTAATTACTTTGTTTTCTATAATTATTATTATTAATTTGTTTTGTGATTAATGAAGCTTTGTGATTTAATTTTTGCAAGTTTGATAACAATGCACTGTATAATGATTTGTTCTTTGGGGATTGGATTACTGCAATTGATTATGATGTAAAGTATTGCTCTGAGCTGCTCTTAGTTTTGAACTGTCGAATTGTTTAGCTTATTCATATTTACTTTTAATGGTTGATTTAAAAATGTTTTGTTAATTTATTTACTTAGCTTCTTTTAATTTCAACTAAATTATCTTACACTTGAGTTTATTCTTATCTTTGGTATCCGTTTTTAACTCTTTAAATTATCAAGTTAATTAATTTTAAGATTATAAATTGCATATTATCAATTCCTCTTGGGTTCGACCCTTGCCTTTGCACACTACCACTACACTGACTCGTGCACTTGCGAGGACATTATATATTTAAAATTGTACAACATATCTAACTATAACTAAAAGTTTTTATATTTGGAAAATTACCCAAGTATATATACTAATTACTAATTACTAATTTCTCAATTTTCTAAATCCTGATTTTTTATTTCTATTATACACTTAGATCGGTATCCTGTAATTTGAATTAAGGTTTGTGTTATGTTTGGACATTGGATTTTCAAATATGTAGTGTTTTCTTGTTTTTCGGACTCATTATTGATTGAGAAATTTGAGATATGCATCGTTTTAGTGTTGATTGGATTTTAAATTTTAAATTAATAAAAAATAATTAATTAATTAATTGCGCTAAAGAACTAGAGAATGTTAATGTTCTCAAATTGACCGAACCAAACTAAACTACAATGTAAAATAGAATGGTTTTGTCTTTTCAAAACTGAAAAAATATAAATCAAACCGACGAAAAAAAAAAAGGACTCGAACTATAAATCGAAATTCCCACCCCTAATTGTAGGTTCTTTTAGTTACTATTATTACAATTCCATTAAGTAAATTTAAAAGTTTATCTAGATATTATTTCATGTTCGTTAAATTACTATTGCAAGTTGATTAAGTCACTACAGCAAGTCCTTTGAAAAAAAAAAAAGAGAGAAAAGTCACCACTACAAGTTCATTAAGTCATATATGCTCGTCCGAAACATTATTACAAGTTTATTAAATTACTAACGCATACTCATTAAGCCACTATTGTAGGTACAGTAAGTCATCATAGGTCATCTATATTAGTACTATATCACACATTTATTGTAAGAATATATTGAAAAAATATATCAATATGAGTGAATTTAAAATATCTCTATGAGATATTTTTAAGCAATGTTTGGTTTATTATATTGGCAACATGACTTGGGAAGCAAACCCGAGACGTCTAAACAAATACATTACACAATACTTTACACTACAAATCTCCTCAAAATTGATAGATATGAAATCTTCCGTATATCTTCCATTGTCAGGAATTGAACCCAGGTCTCCTGGGTGAAAGCCAGATATCCTAACCACTGGACGACAACAGAACACTTCCATGGATCATCTGGTGAAAATCATCTATTGCAAATTATTAACTTATAATTTTATGGTTTACATTTTGAAACCATACAAACTAAGTTGCGGTGAACATGGAGCGAACACATGACCTTCAGATCTTCAGTCTGACGCTCTCCCAACTGAGCTATCCCCGCATCTCATAGTAACTTTACATTCTTTTTTTTGAAAACGAGAGATTAATTCATTAAATCACCAAGAATAACGTTTACAAGAAAAGATGGTGGAGAGTCATACCACTCTCCGCAACCTGACTCAGAAAAGGCCTCCCTAGCAACTGCATGGGCAGCACCATTCGCAGATCGCTTAACATAACAAAATTTAACATCATCTATCTGTAATGCTAAATTTCTAATATCATCAACAATAAATCCAAAAGCCGAATTAAATGGTGGTGAACCAATTGCATGACAGACTACCTGACTGTCCATCTCTACATCCACGGAACCCATTCATGTATGCTTTAACCAGCTCAAAGCCTCCCTGATACTCAAAGCTTCCACTTCTTTCACCGTAAAGACCCCGGGCATCACCACATTCTTCGCTGCAAGGAAATTCCCATTATCATCACGTAGCACCCAACCCAACCCCATTACATTATCAGCCACCCGTAACGCCGCATCCGTGTTCAATTTCAGTCTCCCTTGGGCAGGTTTGGTCCATCGTGTTATAGCCTCCTGCACAGCTTGTCCTGTAGCCACCTCATTCACAGCCCTCCAATTATCAAGAAACAACAAAGCTCTCTGGACCACCATATTCAAATAAAAAACAACACCCTTCCAGACACTATCATTCCGGCTACACCACAGACCCCACAACACCATCACAAAGTTAGGCAACTAGACATGACCACGATTCCGGTTCCGGTCCGGTTCCGGTTCGGAACCGGCGGTTCCGGTTCCGTATTTGGTCGAACCGGAACCGGAACCTTATATTAAGGTTCCGGTTCCGGTTCTAACCAGTATTTTTTTTTTATTTTTTATTTTTTATTTTTTGTAAATTGTATGTTTTTAAGTATTGTTAGGCCTTGAGTTTGAGTAATTTTTTTTTTTTTTTAAAGATGACAGTTGTAACTTGTAAGTTTAAGTGGAATAAAATGTTTAACTTTGCTATGTTTTAATACAAAGACCTTATGAGAATAGCGACCAGAGAGCATTGAAACTAATAAAGGCAATTCTTAGGCCATTAATGATTAGGATAACAAAGGAAACAAAAGACAATAAATTTTTCATTGTCATTTGTTTCCTTTATTTTTCTAAACATTAATAGACTAAGAATTACCTTTATCAGTTTCAATACTCTCTGGTCACTACTCCCATAAGGTCTTTATATTAATTTATTCATAGCAAAATTAAGTAATTTATTTCACTTAAACTAAAAAAAAAATTAATAATTTTAAAAATGCAAAATTTAATAATTTTGCATTTTTTTTTTATTTTTTCGGTTTGGAACCGGAACCGTCCGGTTCCGAACCGGAACCGGCGGTTCCGGTTCCAATATTATAGGAACCTTAACCGGAACCTTATAGGTTCCGGTTAAGAACCGGAACCGGAACCGTACGGACGGTTCCGGTTCGGTTCCGGTTAGCACAGTGACGGTTCCGGTTACGGTTCCGGTCTGAACCGGAACCGTGGTCACCCCTATAGGCAACAGACTAGCATTCAAAGAATTCACACCCCAAAAAAACCAGTCAGCAAGATAATTACCGTGAAAAGTACTGATATGTGGCATCCCTAACTTACTCCAGAGCTGAACTACTTGCGGGCAATGAACAAACAAATGAAGGCCAGACTCCTCAACATGTCTGCACATATGACAATTCAACGCACAAGCAACATTTTTAGTCATCAAAATATCACAGGTAGGGAGATAAGATGATGCTAACTGCCAGCAAAAATTTTTCACCTTCGGCGGAATATGTAGATTCCAGATTGTAGACCATGGCCGATCATCCCCAGCCACCATAGTAAGCTGCCTGTAACAAGATTTAACAGTGTAAGCACCCTTCTGATCCCAATTCCAAAACCACTGATCCCGTGGCTTCCTAATACTGAGTGGAATATTTAAAATCAAATTAGCATCACGAGGACCAAAAATATCCCTCACACAATCCACATCCCAAGCATTACCTTGCAAATCCATGAGTGAAGACACCGGAGCATCATAAATCGTCTGATGTAGATCAGTCTCCACATACAGGTTAGCATCAACAGGCAACCACGGATCGGAGCCAATTATAGTATCCTCCCCGTTGCCAATCACCTGCCTACTACCTTCTTTCAAACAGCCCTTCACCTCCATCAAACCCCTCCAGATATATGACGGGTTATTCCCTTCTCTTGCATCAAAAAAATCACAACTGGGATAGTACCTGGATTTATACACTCGTGCAACCAGGCTTGCAGGTCTAGTTAACAGCCTCCAGGCCTGTTTTCCAAGAAGGGCCTTATTCATCTCATGTAACCGTCTAAAGCCCATCCCACCAACAGCTTTCGGCTTACACAATCCCTCCCAAGTGCGCCACTTTATACCACGGTCATCCCCTACTCTTCCTGTCCACCAATACTGGTTCATTATATTCTGAATTTCACGGCATAGCCCTATGGGTAACAACAAGACCATCATTGCATATGTTGGCATAGCTTGGATTACATTCTTCAGTAGAACCTCCCTTCCTGCTCTGGACAGGAACTTGGAATTCCAAGACCGAATCCGGGATAGGATTCGATCCTTCAGAAACCCCAAAATAGCTTTCTTCTTCTTCCCTACTAATGAAGGCAGTCCCAAATACTTTCCACTAGTGTCCCCCTCCTCCACACCGAGAATATCCACCACCTCATTCCGCATGTTCTGTGGTACGTTAGCACTAAAACAAGCAGCTGATTTGTCGTAATTTATATATTGGCCAGAAGCCTTAGCATAAGTGTCTAACACATACCTCATCTGCACACTTTCATCAATACTCGCCCGATGAAATAGGAAACAGTCATCAGCGAAGAGCAAATGTGAAATAGTCGGGGCTCCCCTGGCAACAACCGCCCCATGTAAAAGGCCCATAGACGTCATCTTCCCGATCAATGCGCTCAACCCCTCTATAACAAAAAGAAACAAGTAAGGGGATAGCGGATCACCTTGTCTCAATCCCCTACCCGGAGTGATAGGCCCTAGCTGCCGCTGGTCATGAAGAACATGATACCGTACCGATGTGACCGTTTCCAGCAATAAATCCACCCACCTCCTGTCAAACCCCATCTTCAACAACACCGCCTGGAGGTACGGCCACTCTACCCGGTCATAAGCCTTCGACATATCAAGCTTCAAAGCCACCAGCCCCTCCCTACCCTGAGTTTTCCGCTTCAAGTGATGATGCACTTCAAAAGCCAGCATTATATTGTCAGTAATTAACCGACCTGGGATAAACGCACTCTGCGCATGTGATATCATATTCTGCAAAAGGGACTTCATTCGATTAGCACACACCTTAACCGCCACCTTATACACAACATTACACAGCGCAATTGGGCGAAGGTCCTTCATAGTCTCTGGGCTCGTTATTTTAGGGATCAAGACAATGAGAGTTTCGTTTGCTTTGTCAGGTAACCTGCCCGTCTCCAGAAACCTCCTACAGAAAGCCGTGACTTCCCCCCCAACAACATCCCAAAAGTACTGAAAAAAGCCTGGGCCAAAGCCGTCAGGCCCCGGGGACTTATCCGGATGCATCTGAAAAACAGCTGCACGAACCTCCTCCATACTCAGATGCCGCAACAGCCATGCGTTATCACGCTCAGAAACCCTCTCGCCAACAGCATGCACTACCTCCTGCATATCCCCATAATCCGGCGCAAACAGATTAGCGAAATAATTTACCATAATCCCATCCAACGCCACTTCCTCCTCCACCCAGTTCCCGGACTCATCCCGCAACCTCCTTATCGCATTCTTTCGTCGTCTGGCCTTCACGGAATTATGGAAGAACTTACTATTCGTATCTCCACCTCTATACCAATGCTCTTTAGCTCGTTGCTTCCAATATATGTGTTGCTGTTCTAACAAAAAGAGCAACTCCTTCTCCACAGTAGCATATTCCCGCATACCGGCTAAATCTCGACGTGAAATCAACCCATCTAGCCGGCGCTTGCAATGCTCTATTTTCCGCTGAAACTTCTTATTATATCCCCGCCCCCATCTCGAGATATCCCGAGCACATGCCTCTATCCTTTCCAACGTGCCCAGTCCCACTGTTCGGTCCCAACTGTGCGCCACAATTTCCCTACACGACTCCTCCCTTATCCACATATTATCAAAGCAAAATCTCGCCTTCCTCCGAGTTCTAGGCCGCATGACTGGCGTAATTACTAGAGGAAGATGGTCACTGTAGGTAGTTGACAATGAAAGTGCCTGCGCTCCCTCAAACATATTCAACCAACTGTCATTAGCAAGAAATCGATCCAGCTTTTCCTCTATCATATGATCCGTGCCCTGTGACTTAACCCAAGTAAACTGATGCCCACTAAAAGGAACATCCACCAGCCTACTATCCGCTACTGCATCCCGGAACCCATTAATCAGCCACTGTGGGTGTGGTGTTCGGCCATACTTTTCAGACTGGTCCAGAATATCATTGTAATCCCCCATAACAAGCCACGGTAATGTCGAGAGTGAAGAGAGAGTGCGCAACAACTGCCAGGATTCTCTTCTACGACTCCTATCCGAGTACCCATAAAACCCCGTTAAGCGCCATTTTGGACTACCAACATCCATCCTTTTCTCCGCATCCACATGATTAGAAGAATAACCTTTAACACTCAAATCCACCGTGTTAGACCAAAGTAGAGCCAATCCTCCACTATGACCCGTAGCTTCTACTGTGAACACACTGTCAAAGCCCAACTGAACCCGAATTGTCTCCATTCGCTGCTTGTCCTCAAATGTTTCAATGAGAAAAACCACACTCGGCCTCTTAGAGCGGATATGATCCGCTAACACACGAACTGCCGTCTGGTTGCCAAGCCCCCGGCAGTTCCAAGTCATCAGACTCATGACTTTAGGCGGGCCTGCTCCGCAAGACCCGCCTCCAATCCGTTTTTTGAAACTGCTTGATCACACTCCATGCCCACATCCCCTTCAATATTCTCGGCCTCCTCCAGATCAACCCGCCTTCTCTTTTGTTCCCCCACCACCACACCCGGCACACCCATCGCAGCAGTCATGGAATTCATACTGCCCACACCACGGCCAATGTTTCTCTCGTTAGTCCGTACTGCCCCATCACCAGAAAGAACCTCCGGAACACACATTAAAGCTGGAGACTTCCACCCCCTCCTCTCGGCCGCTGTTTCTGGAGCAATCCAGCAACGATTCTGAGTCAGGGCTCCCTGACGTGAACCTGCTCTTAACCAAGCTCCGTAAGGCTTCTCAGCCTTAGGATCAGTACATTGTAAAGCCAGCCGACAATGCCTATCCCCATGCCCAATCAACCCGCACAGAAAGCAAAAGGTAGGTAGGCGCTCATATCGGAAATCAATTAAAGACCAGTTACCTGCATCCTGCTTCAACTTCATTTGCTTTTTGAGTGGCTTGGAGACATCCAAAGAGACACGAACTCGGTAGAATGTTTTCATTGAGCCGTCGAAATTCCTCTCATTCGCCTGTACAACCGACCCTAAGAACGAACCGATTGCCATAACCACAGTCTCCGATCGAAAGCCAACCGGTAACGCATGAATTTGTACCCAAAAATCAGCATGGGTTAAGGGTATAGATTCGGGGTCCTCTCCAGGTTGCACCTTCTTCATTATTAACAAACTTTGTTCGTAAGTCCATGGCCCCTCGCTGAGTATTCGTTCCCGATCCCCCTCATGATAGAAGCGTATTAAGTACAGACGGGGATGCAGTTCCCTCATATTTACCCCCATGGCAGACTGCCAAACATCGGCCATGGTGTCCAGAAAGTATGCAAAGCGTACCGGTCGATTAGTAACAAGCCTTCCAACCGCATAAAAGGACTCCTCTCCATCCTCCTGATCACGCGGTACATGCGGAACCTGGATAGAGAACTCCTCGTCATCGACGTCCGCTAGCGTAAGGTTGGCGCACTACTCAGCGACGTCATCAGCAGCCATGCTTCCAGTAAGATGCAGTGTTGAACGCCGTAGAAACAAAAGACGTAATCGGAAGAGTGGAAAACAAATAAAACCCTAGGTACTCGCGAACGAGCGAGAGAGAGACTGAGTATAAATTACAATTTTTATTACCTACAAACTTCTGTTTCACCTAACACTTCTAGTAACTTTACATTCTTAATAAATGAACTTTTAGCTTTTTTTAACCATAAGTTATTATGTTCCACATATTGCTTCGAATAGTCATTATTGGGTCTTCAAACTCTGATTAAAAGTTAAAACTATGTATCTAACTATAACTAAATGATTTTATATTTGGAAAATTACCCGAATATATATACTAATTACTAATTACTAAATTCTCAATTTTCTAAATCCCGATTTTTTATTTCTATTATACACTTAGATTGGTATCTTGTAATTTGAATTAAGTTTTATGTTATGTTTGGACATTGGATTTTTAAATATGTAGTGTAGTCTTGTTGTTCGGACTCATTATTGATTGAGAAATTTGAGATATGCATCGTTTTCGTGTTGATTGGATTTTAAATTTTAAATTAATAAAAAATAATTAATTAATTAAATGCGCTAAAGAACTAGAGAATGTTAATGTTCTCAAATTGACCGAACCAAACTAAACTACAATGTTAAATAGAATGGTTTTTTCTTTTCAAAACTGAAAAAATATAAATCAAACCGACGAAAAAAAAAGGACTCGAACTGTAAATCGAAATTCCCACCCCTAATTGTAGGTTCTTTTAGTTACTATTATTACAATTCCATTATGTAAATTTACAAGTTTATCTAGATATTATTTCATGTTCGTTAAATTACTATTGCAAGTCGATTAAGTCACTACAGCAAGTCCTTTAAAAAACAAAAAAAGAGTGAAAAGTCACCACTACAAGTTCATTAAGTCATATATGCTCGTCCGAAACATTATTACAAGTTTATTAAATTACTAACGCATACTCATTAAGCCACTATTGTAGGTAAAGTAAGTCATCATAGGTCATCTATATTATTACTATATCACACATTTATTGTAAGAATATATTGAAAAAATATATCAATATGAGTGAATTTAAAATATCTCTATGAGATATTTTTAACGATATTACTTTTATAGATTGATTTTATTTATAAAGAAAGAAATAAAGGAAAATGTATTTAAGCAATGTTTGGTTTATTATATTGGCAACATGACTTGGGAAGCAAACCCGAGACGTCTAAACAAATACATTACACAATACTTTGCACTACAAATCTCCTCAAAATTGATAGATATGAAATCTTTTGTATATCTTCCGTTTCCGAGAATTGAACCCAGGTCTTCTTGGTGAAAGCCAGATATCCTAACCGCTGGACGACAACGGAACACTTCCATGGATCATCTGTTGAAAATCATCTATTGCAAATTATTAACTTATAATTGTATGGTTTACATTTTGAAACCATACAAACTAAGTTGCGGTGAACATGGAGCGAACACGTGACCTTTAGATCTTCAGTCTGACGCTCTCCCAACTGAGCTATCCCTGCATCTCATAGTAACTTTACATTCTTAATAAATGAACTTTTAGGTTTTTTTAACCATAAGTTATTATGTTCCACATATTGCTTCGAAGAGTCATTATTGCGTCTTCAAACTCTGATTAAAAGTTAAAACTATGTATCTAACTATAACTAAATGTTTTTATATTTGGAAAATTACCCGAGTATATATACTAATTACTAATTACTAAATTCTCAATTTTCTAAATCCCGATTTTTTATTTCTATTATACACTTAGATTGGTATCTTGTAATTTGAATTAAGGTTTATGTTATGTTTGGCATTGGATTTTTAAATATGTAGTGTTGTCTTGTTGTTCGGACTCATTATTGATTGAGAAATTTGAGATATGCATCGTTTTCGTGTTGATTGGATTTTAAATTTCAAATTAATAAAAAATAATTAATTAATTAAATGCGCTAAAGAACTAGAGAATGTTAATGTTCTCAAATTGACTGAACCAAACTAAACTACAATGTTAAATAGAATTGTTTCGTCTTTTCAAAACTGAAAAAATATAAATCAAACCGAGGAAAAAAAAAAAGGACCCGAACTGTAAATCGAAATTCTCACCCCTAATTGTAGGTTCTTTTAGTTACTATTATTATAATTCCATTAAGTAAATTTACAAGTTTATCTAGATATTATTTCATGTTCATTAAATTACTATTGCAAGTTGATTAAATCACTATAGCAAGTCCTTTGATAAAAAAGAGAAAAAAAAAAAAAAAAAAAAAAAAAAAAAAAAAAAAAAAAAAAAAAGAGAGAGAAAAGTCACCACTACAAGTTCATTAAGTCATATATGTTCGTCCGAAACATTATTACAAGTTCATTAAATTACTAACGCATACTCATTAAGCCACTATTTTAGGTACAGTAAGTCATCATAGGTCATCTATATTATTACTATATCACACATTTATTGTAAGAATATAGTGAAAAAATATATCAATATGAGTGAATTTAAAATATCTCTATGAGATATTTTTAACGATATTACTTTTATAGATTGATTTTATTTATAAAGAAAGATATAAAGAAAAATGTATTTAAGCAATGTTTGGTTTATTATATTGGCAACATGACTTGGGAAGCAAACTCGAGACGTCTAAACAAATACATTACAAAATACTTTGCACTACAAATCTCCTCTAAATTGATAGATATGAAATCTTCCGTATATCTTCCATTGCTGGGAATTGACCCGGGTCTCTTGGGTGAAAGCCAGATATCCTAACCGCTGGACGACAACGGTGGATCATCTGTTGAAAATCATCTATTGCAATTTCTTAACATATAATTGTATGGTTTAAATTTTGAAACCATACAAACTAACTTGCGGTGAACGTGGATCGAACACGTGACCTTCAGATCTTCAGTCTGACGCTCTCCAAACTAAGCTATCCCCGCATCTCATAGAAACTTTACAGTCTTAATAAACGAACTTTTAGCTTTTTTTAACCATAAGTTATTATGTTCCACATATTGCTTCGAATAGTCATTATTGCGTCTTCAAACTCTGATTAAAAGTTAAAACATAGCCACGATGATTACGTTCATGAGAAACAAACCGATTTCATTACACTACACCACACATCAATTATGCATGATTCAATTTTTGCCACAAGCTAAAGCCAATCATCTTTAATAACACCTCTATAATTATTATAAAGTCTAATGTAAGCATAAAAAACTATGACATTTCCTTTTTTCATATCAATGTATCTAATTATAACTAAATGTTTTTATATTTGGAAAATTAACCGAGTATATATACTAATTACTAATTACTAATTTCTCAACTTTCTAAATCCCGATTTTTTATTTCTATTATACACTTAGATCGGTATCTTGTAATTTGAATTAAGTTTTGTGTTATGTTTGGACATTGGATTTTTAAATATGTAGTGTTTTCTTGTTTTTTGGACTCATTATTGATTGAGAAATTTGAGATATGCATCATTTTTGTGTTAATTGGATTTTAAATTTTAAATTAATAAAAAATAATTAATTAATTAATTGCGCTAAAGAACTATAGAATGTTAATGTTTCTCAAATTGACCGAACCAAACTAAACTACAATCTTAAATAGAATGGTTTTGTCTTTTCAAAACTGAAAAAATATAAATCAAACCGACGAAAAAAAAAGGACTCGAACTGTAAATCGAAATTCCCACCCCTAATTGTAGGTTGTTTTAGTTACTATTATTACAATTCCATTAAGTAAATTTACAAGTTTATCTAGATATTATTTCTTGTTCGTTAAATTACTATTGCAAGTTGATTAAGTCACTACAGCAAGTCCTTTGAAAAAAAAAAAAAAAAAAAGAAAAGTCACCACTACAAGTTCATTAAGTCATATATGCTCGTCCGAAACATTATTACAAGTTTATTAAATTTCTAACGCATACTCATTAAGCCACTATTGAAGGTACAGTAAGTCATCATAGCACATCTATATTATTACTATATCACACATTTATTGTAAGAATATATTGAAAAAATATATCAATATGAGTGAATTTAAAATATCTCTATGAGATATTTTTAACGATATTACTTTTATAGATTGATTTTATTTATAAAGAAAGAAATAAAGGAAAATGTATTTAAGCAATGTTTGGTTTATTATATTGGCAACATGCCTTGGAAAGCAAACCCGAGACGTCTAAACAAATACATTACACAATATGTTGCACTACAAATCTCCTCTAAAAATTGATAGATACCAAATCTTTCGTATATCTTCCATTGCCGGGAATTGAACCCAGGTCTCCTGGGTGAAAGCCAGATATCTTAACCGCAGGGCCGACAACGGAACACTTCCAAGGATCATCTGTTGAAAATTATCTATTTCAAATTATTAACTTATAAATGAATGGTTTACATTTTGAAACCATACAAACTAAGTTGCGGTGAACGCGGAGCGAACACGTGACCTTCAGATCTTCAGTCTGACGCTCTCCCAACTGAGCTATCCCCGCATCTCATCAAAACTTTACATTCTTAATAAATGAACTTTTAGCTTTTTTTAACCATAAGTTATTTTGTTCCACATATTGCTTCGAATAGTCATTATTGCGTCTTCAAACTCTGATTAAAAGTTAAAACTATGTATCTAACTATAACTAAATGTTTTTATATTTGGAAAATTACCCGAGTATATATACTAATTACTAATTACTAAATTCTCAATTTTCTAAATTCAGATATTTTATTTCTATTATAAACTTAGATTGGTATCTTGTAATTGGAGTTAAGTTTTATGTTATGTTTGGACATTGGATTTTTAAATATGTAGTGTTGTCTTGTTGTTCGGACTCATTATTGATTGAGAAATTTGAGATATGCATCGTTTTCGTGTTGACTGGATTTTAAATTTTAAATTAACTAAAAGTAATTAATTAATTAAATGCGGTAAAGAACAAGAGAATGTTAATGTTCTCAAATTGGCCGAACCAAACTAAACTACAATGTTAAATAGAATGGTTTCGTCTTTTCAAAACTGAAAAAATATAAATCAAACCGAGGAAAAAAAAGGACCCGAACTGTAAATCGAAATTCTCACCCCTAATTGTACGTTCTTTTAGTTACTATTATTATAATTCCAATAAGTAAATTTACAAGTTTATCTAGATATTATTTCATGTTCGTTAAATTACTATTGCAAGTTGATTAAGTCACTACAGCAAGTCCTTTGATAAAAGAAAAAAAAAAAAAAAAAAAAGAGAAAAGTCACCACTACAAGTTCATTAAGTCATATATGCTCGTCCGAAACATTATTACAAGTTCATTAAATTACTAACGCATACTCATTAAGCCACTATTGTAGGTACTGTAACTCATCATAGGTCATCTATATTATTACTCTATCACACATTTATTGTAAGAATATATTGAAAAAATATATCAATATGAGTGAATTTAAAATATCTCTATGAGATATTTTTAATGATATTACTTTTATAGATTGATTTTATTTATAAAGAAAGAAATAAAGGGAAATGTATTTAAGCAATGTTTGGTTTATTATATTGGCAACATGACTTGGGAAGCAAACCCGAGACGTCTAAACAAATACATTACACAATACTTTGCACTACAAATCTCCTCTAAATTGATAGATATGAAATCTTTTGTATATCTTCCGTTTCCGGGAATTGAATCCGGGTTTCCTGGGTGGAAAACAGATATCCTAACCGCTGGATGACAACGGAACACTTTAATAAATCATCTGTTGAAAATCATCTATTGCAAATTATTAACATATAATTGTATGGTTTACATTTTGAAACCATACAAACTAACTTGCGATGAACGTGGATCGAACAAGTGACCTTCAGATCTTCAGTCTGACGCCCTCCCAACTGAGCTATCCCCGCATCTCGTAGAAACTTTACATTCTTAATAAACGAACTTTTAGCTTTTTTTAACCATAAGTTATTATGTTCCACATATTGCTTCGAATAGTCATTATTGCGTCTTCAAACTCTGATTAAAAGTTAAAACATAGCCACGATGATTACGTTCATGAGAAACAAACCGATTTCATTACACTACACCACACATCAATTGTGCATGATTCAATTGTTGCCACAAGCCAAAGCCAATCATCTTTAATAACACCTCTATAATTATTATAAAGTCTAATGTAAGCATAAAAAACTATGACATTTCCTTTCTTCATATCAATGTATCTAACTATAACTAAATGTTTTTATATTTGGAAAATTACCCGAGTATATATACTAATTACTAATTACTAATTTCTCAATTTTCTAAATCCCGATTTTTTATTTCTGTTATACACTTAGATCGGTATCTTGTAATTTGAATTAAGTTTTGTGTTATGTTTGGACATTGGATTTTTGAAATATGTAGTGTTTTCTTGTTGTTCGGAATCATTATTGATTGAGAAATTTGAGATATGCATCGTTTTCGTGTTGATTGGATTTTAAATTTTAAATTAATAAAAATTAATTGATTAATTAATTGCGCTAAAGAACTTGAGAATGTTAATGTTCTCAAATTGACCGAACCAAACTAAACTACAATGTTAAATAGAATGGTTTCATCTTTTCAAAACTGAAAAAATATAAATCAAACAGAGGAAAAAAAAGGACTCGAATTGTAAATCGAAATTCCCACCCCTAATTGTAGGTTGTTTTAGTTACTATTATTACAATTCCATTAAGTAAATTTACAAGTTTATCTAGATATTATTTCATGTTCGTTAAGTTACTATTGCAAGTTGATTAAGTCACTACAGCAAGTCCTTTGAAAAAAAAAAAAAAAAGATGAGAAAAGTCACCACTACAAGTACATTAAGTCATATATTCTCGTCCCAAACATTATTACAAGTTCGTAAAATTACTAACGCATACTCATTAAGCCACTATTGTAGGTATAGTAAGTCATCATACGTCATCTATATTATTACTATATCACACATTTATTGTAAGAATATATTGAAAAAATATATCAATATGAGTGAATTTACTATATCTCTATGAGATATTTTTAACGATGTTACTTTTACAGATTGATTTTATTTATAAAGAAAGAAATAAAGGAAAATGTATTTAAGAAATGTTTGGTTTATTATATTGGCAACATGACTTGGGAAGCAAACCCGAGACGTCTAAACAAATACATTAAATTAAACTACAAATCTTCTCTAAATTGATAGATATGAAATCTTTCGTATATCTTCCGTTGCTGGGAATTGAACCCAGGTCCCTCCTAGGTGAAAGCCAAATATCCTAACCGATGGACAACAACGGAACACTTCTATGGATCATCTGTCGAAAATCATCTATTGCAAATTATTAACTTAGAATTGTATGGTTTACATTTTGAAACCATACAAACTAACTTGCGGTGAACGTGGATTTAAATACATATTAAATCAAAGAAATAAATTTTAAAATTTCTTTTTCTTCATGCATTTCATACAATGAAATTTATCACAGGTATTACAACAAATACTTCCCAATAATCACATAAGAAAACTATATCATTCCTTATACTAAGACATTTTCATAATCATCAACCAACAAAATTCATATATTTTGAAAAAAAATAGGGCAAAGTAATGGAGGACAAAACCACTTACCAATATTTTTCCTAAGCCTCGGTATTCAAATCCCCTGTAGGCTTGAGTGGATTGTTTCAACTCTTGAAAAGAATAGGAGAAATTTGTTTTTTTTTTTTTTTTTCTTTAAAAGTGCCGAAATGGAGAGAAAGGAAGAAGAGAGATTTTTTTTTTTCTGTTGCTAGAAGGATCGGCCAAGGTAGGGAAAAAGGAGAAGGAAAATAATTATATTGGTCATCATCCTTCCTTAGTCAACTTATAGTAGTAATTTAATGTGAGAATATTTAAAGTTGTACTCCCAATCATATTAATTATAAATATTCTTATCATATATATCAATATACAATATATATTACATAACAATTCACACATTTTCCATATATATATTGATATCAAATATTATCCTACCTATTATATATATATACTACACGTCACACACATATATACTTAATTATTATACTATATATATTTTTGACTTACATACAAATAATATATGTTACATACAAATATTTAATATATGTACATACGTTACACATATAATATAATACATAAGTATGAAAAATATACATATATACAATTATATGACCCAAAATAATATGTACACATTTTATACTAAAATAATTATTTTGTATTTCAAAATAATGCACATATACTTATAATTAAAATTATAATTATACATACTTTATTATATATTTATTTATAACAACAATAATAATAATAGGATAAAGATGATGTGATTGTATTTTAAAAAGACTTGATCAGAAAGGAAATGGGTGATCAATTGAAAAAAAAAAAAATAATCTACAAAGGCTAGAAAAAACGGGTATCACACTCTTTCATAGTTTGATTCAAACTAATTGAATTTTTATTTTGAGAAATTGTTATCTAATCAACCAAACTAAATTATACTTTAACTAATTTGATTAATTCATCCAAATAAATAACTTTTATTATATATAATTTATTTTATATTATATATTTGATACAACCATATTGTAAAAATTGTACTACGTTACATTGGATATCTCTTAATATACAAATAGTAGACTAATGTCGTTAGGATAGTCATTAGATTAATTTGATTAATTTTGAATCAAACTTTGGGATGAAGATGCCATATTGATAGCAGAACAAGCAATTCATACGAATTGATGTGACAAATTAGTAAAATAAGTGATAGTGAACTTATTTGTCACAAAAAAGTTTTAAAATGTGTGATTATAAAATGTATTTTCACAATTATATTCATTTTAAGAGGCACTAAATAGTTGCATTTTAAATGACAATAATATTTAATACCTAGTTCACACCAAATTACTTGACACCAACTTGAATGCAATTTTAGTGGCAAACATTGCTTACAACATAATTTCACATAATATTCACCTATTTAATTATAGGGACAAAGTCATTGTAACAACTAATTACTCGTCACAATTATCATAAATTAGTGACAAAACTTGAAATCAACATAAATATTGTCACAATTTAGTAATTTTTCTTACGGAATTATAGAGTGTCACAAATATTTTTAACAATTTCATCACAAAAAGTGATAATATTAGTGAAAATAATATTTTTTTCTCACAATTGTTTCTCATTTCTAATGGTACTAACCAATTTTATTTTTATTGACAAAAAAAGTTGTCACAAATATTATAAACAAGAGTGGCCAACAACTATTTGTCACAAAAAACTACAAACATTTGTGTCCACATTATATTTTGTCACAATTACATTCGTTCCCGCCATAATTATAATGCCGCCAAAATGCATATACATTTTGTGACAACGTATGTTACGACACTATTATTCTAGTAATAGTGACAACTTATTCGTAAGAAATACTTTCTTGTCACATTACCATACTATCCGTGACCAAAAAAAAAGTTATCACAATTATCCCACGGAATAGTGTCGACTTATTTTTTTTATCACAAAAAACGTATTATTTATGACTAAATTATGAAGTGTCACAGAAGATTTGTCACTAAATGTCTACATTCTTGTAGTGAGTCTAATGAAACTTCATCTCTAACTTCAGCTCTTACTATATATAGCCTTTGAAACTTCATCTTTAACTTCAGCTCTTACTATATATAGCCTTTGAAACTTCATCTCTAACTGCATCTCTTACCTCATTCGCATCTCTTACATCGAAACCACTTTTGAAACCTCTGCTCCTTCTTCATGTGAGTTTCATACCTGAGACCTTAGAGTTAATTCATCAAGCTTTCATCCAACTCGTCTTTACGGATTATTGGTCATTGTAGCATTCTCCTTGATGTACTTCTTTCTTTCCACAGATGCTTGATCTCCAAGATAACTTCATGCAATCTCGTTTCTTCGTATGACTTCTTCTTTGAGTTGGGGCGTGTGGGCTTGTTTAAGTATACATATCATATGCATACATCTTCTTCTTCATATTTCTCATATTTTTCCCTTTCTCTATATTTGTTAATTTTCCTTTCATGGTTTATGACACACCTAGACTTAACAAATAAAATTGGGGATTCTAAAATACAATTTGGCATATCAAAATCTATTACAATATATTCCTAATAATTTCTCCCCTTTTGATAATGCCAAAATCCTATACTCAGTCATTGGCTTTAAGTCTTTTGAAAAATATATTTTGCTCAATTTTATTTGACAAAGCCATGATGAGTTTAACAAAAAATATTCTAGGGAAATAAATTGACTCATGAATTAATATTAGACAAGTTCCTATACGAATTTATATCATTAATTTTAATCAATATTTTTCTTTTGTTATGTGTTTGACATTCTTGTCTCTTAATTCACATTCTAATTACAAATCAAAATAACTTTTGTACTAAAAAGCATATAGACCATTTAGGAAATTAACATAGATAACTTGTATGATCATTATAAGGAAAAATACTTGATAATTTTGAAACAGTAGTTTACAAAACATAAGTTTCGAAAATCAGATTACCTCTTTTGCCTCTTATCACTTCTTCCATTCTTCAAGACATCTTTGATTTTTTCTCTCATCTTGTATGTAACACCCCCGATTTTACCAACATTTTTAAAACTTAAATTCAATGATAAATAACTAATCATCAAAGCAAACAGAAGCGGAAGCTATTTAAAACCGGAAGGCGTTATGCCACACCCATAAACCATGGGTGCACAGGCTAGGTCTACAACAATCCATCAAAATAGTATAAAGTCTAAGGCACACAGGCCACGTCCAACTAAGGCTCACAGGCCCAGAACAAAGCAACTAGAGGGAGGGAACTTCAGTAGCTACCAACAACGACTAGCGCGCTCCACAACAAAGCAAAACATGTAAAAGATAAGGGATAACACCCGGTCAGCGAATAATGCTGGTAACCCATTAATACGAGTTAAATAGCATAGTATAGATAGATATAATCAAAAGCATTTGAGACTGAGGAATACAGTATATAGTCATTTCAAAGCCAGAAGAAGATCAACATCAAAGACTCATCACACTCTCAATAAGAACGAGGATCATCAACCTCAACAAGACAACAACCACAACAGCAAGGGACAACATAACTCTAGATGCAACCTACCATTCACAAGGTAGAGTTCATCAAACACATGCTCGTAAGCAAGGGAATCATACAATCACATAATGAGACACTCATGTTTCAAGTTCTAACCTTATACCTTAATACCACCCTTATGGCTACCCCCGACCTTATCACAGTTCCAACTTGTACCTCCAAGTGCCACCTTGTACTTCTGAGTCCAACCTTTTCCCAGTCTGAGACAGTCGTCCCCCACCAATCTACACCACCAATCAGAATACCACCGATCTCAAGTACACGAGGGTACTGTTCAATTCATAGTCATATACCACCGATCTCATGTGAGCAAAGCTCAAGTCACAAAACCACCAATCTCATTCATATTCACACACAATCATCATCATCATCAAGAGGATTGAGGCTCATCAATAACCTCAATCAAGCATCAACAAAGGGTACAATGATTTGTACAAGATAACATAATAAGAATCAATCAAGAGATTTCAACAAAGTCAGGAGACAATACTCAACAACAAGGACTACCATCCAACATCAAATGATTGGCAACACAAGTTGCCAATCCTAAACAAGAAGGAACAAACCATACATACTAGCATATCAACATCAAACTAGAATGCTCATCAAACGGATAAACCAAAAGGGATCCAACGAACCTTCAAGACTCATATTAGCCCAACGAATCACAAAGTTGGACCCTTAGCACGATTCAAGACACCAAATCCTAACATGGATTCCTAACTCATCGTTCTAGAAATACGAAACGTCAAGAAGACTCACAAAAGCTCAATAATCAAGCAACGGGAGGTTAAAACATCAACACCAAGAAGAAAAGAATCACGGGGAACAAATCCCCGCACTCGCATCACATGTTCCCCGCGGGTGGGGCCATGGGTACGCCCCCACCCGTGGGCCTGCCCGCGGGGTACACTCCCCAAATCACCACGTTCCCCGCGGGTGGGGCGGCGGGTAGGCCACTTCCCGCCGTTCCGCCCGCGAGGTACAATTCATGTACACAATTTCCCTTCAGGGATTTTCATCATCAAGGTCAAGTTCAAGTCCAAAACACCCAAAATCTCACACACAACAAAGATATGACTTGAAACCAAGAAATAGCCAAGCAATGGCATTCAAGAAACCTAAAAACAAGCTCTAAACATGCATCATCACAAGATCATGCATCAAATCTCACAAATCACATCAAAAACATCAAATAGAAGCCAATAATCATCATTTAGGTAAGAAAATAGGTTTTGTATAGCCTTTGCAGCTTAACAACTTCTCCTTTCCACCCTCTTAAGCCTTTCTTAGAGCTCTACTTCCTCACCAACTTCTTACACAAGCCAAAACACAAGAAAGATTCTAACTTAGATAAAGACACCCAAAAGATGGCTAAAAACACCAAAAAGCTAAGAACCTTACCCTTTCCTATGCTCAAGAAGAAGAAAGTAGGAATCTTGGTGAAGGATCTTGCAAGGCTAGGAGGTTCACCTTCTTGCTTGAAGAATAAGCTAGGTTCTTTTAGAGAGATGTTAGAGGGTTTGAGGCTTATGCTTGAATGATGAATGGATGAAATGTCTTGCTAGGGATGGTTTGAGCAACAATTCATGGGTGAAAAGCCACTTCTACCCTTACTAAGGTTGGAAAGACAAGGGGCAATGGTACAAACCATGAAGCATAAGGTACACTCAATTGACTTAAGTGACTAGTACAATTCTAGTCCCTCGACTATTAAATTTCAGGATTTTTAGAAATGGATTAGCAAAGGAAGCTTGGATTAATTCTTCCATTAATCCCCAATTAGTATTTAGATTTACGGGGTGTCACATTGTACACATCATTCTTGATACGTTCACAGAAGAATTCTTTGTTGACTTGTCCGGCGAGGTAATTTTTCATAAGCTTCTTTCAAAGTTGTTCCTGGTAGAACTCCAGCATCAATCCATTCTATGCATTCATTGAATTGAAGCTTATACAGTGGCCTAGAGAATTTCTTGTGGTTCCAGTGAGCTTTTTCAACTAAAACCACATATCCATCTTCTTTCTCTTTCTTACTTCTTCCTTATTCTTTTCATTCACCCAGTGTGCAGTGTTACTTCAGCTGGGGAATGCATCTTGATTATGGCAGGTGCATTTTCTTTGGTCCATAGAGTATATGGCATTTCGGATTTGGAGCAATTGAACCAATCTTCCATCTTTCCTTTAGATGAACCTGCACCTAAACCAGTATTAGAAAATTGAGCAAAACCCAAACCACCTGGGGATGCTTGGCGTCCACGACCTCGGCCTCGGCCACTTGGTGGTGTAGTATGTGGTTGCCCAATAAAATATTATTGTTGCTGTTGAGCCATATGACTGAGATATTCTTCCCCCCTTTTGGCTTTATCAGCAAGAAAATGAAGGAAACGGGTATCTCGGTCTTGGTTGGCTTTCACAATCTTGTTTTGCAAGGCTTCCAACTTCTGAGTCATGGAGGATAGCTCAACTTCAAGTTGATTAATTCTTCGTTCTTGATCTTGCATAGCCTTTAGTTGCCTCATATGTCATTCATAATTGATCTTCTCGGCTTCCTCCTTTTCTTTTTTCAAATTTTTGATCACTTCAACTAAACTTGCAGTGATGTCAGCCTTCAAACGATTTTTTGTTCTTTCAATCTTGGACTCCAAAGATATGTGTTTTTCAAAAATTTGCGTCAAATTTGACCTTGTGTTGTCAAATTCTTGCATCGCCAAATGTCCTTGATCTCTCAAAGTAGTTCCGATCTTGTGGCAAATTGTGTCTCCAGATTCGGATACTTAGGCAAACAAAATTGTCAAAATGTCATCTTCATCTTCTTTAAGCCGGTGGTGTGTCGTCCAGTTTAGATTATGTAGGGATCTGAGAAACTTCCTTCTTGAATCTGCTAGAACTGGAGTTTCCATAAGTTGTACGCTTCTTCCTTAAGATGATTCGGCCACGGTGGTATTTTCTTGACAACTGGTTTCTTTTTCATGGTTCTCCCCTTCTTTATTGACTTTTTATTCTCCTTGATAATTGTCAATATCTTGAGAGAAACTTGGATTTGAGAGAATAGGTTGCTCAGACAATGGTCTGTCTTCTAGTGAGGATTGAAAGTTTGTAGTAGTTTTGACAGAGACATCCTGTACTTCAACTTCAATTAATTGTCCCCCCCCCCCCCCAATTAAGTCTCTATTCTCATTTAAGACTTCTACTCTTACTTCTTCTCCAACCTCTACTGTAATCTCTTCTCTTATTTCTTCTCTGACCACTAATCAAAATTGTCAATTTTTTTTTCTGACAAGATTGTTTAGTTTCTTGCTGTGTACGCTTTTGAGAATTATTCTTTATATAAGGTCGAGAGATAGAGAGAGATAAAAACAAAACTTTTATTAATGACTCGTTCTTAGGGAGTTTACTGGAGGTAGATTTTCACAACATTCAACTTGACTTTCACAACATCCAGCTTTTCAGTTCTTGGTAGAGGAGAAGGCGGTGCCGAAACTTGCATCTGAGTCACATCGTGGAGGAGATGGATAGTAACCAGGTTCAGAGCCATCACTGAATTGACATTCATAGTAATGTTTCCAATCTTCAAAGTTTGAACTCCCAGAAGAGTATGTTGCAGCAAAGAACCTCATGAAGTCGGCTGGAGGTCTGATGTTGGGATTCACCGGTGCTGGTTGTGGAGGAGGTAGAAGAGGTTTCTCAACAAAGGTGAGTGGTTCTGGTGGAGGTGGTAGACCGTATTCCAACACATGGTTGTTCAGATAGTACATGAAGTCAGCATCCTGCATGTTGTTCATCACTTGATCATAGAAGTCAGGTTGAACCACTGGTACAAAATTTCTGAATGGTTGATCATCTTCATAGACGAAACCCGGTTCCCTTGGCGGTGAGATGGGAACTGGATTCTCCAACAGCTTGAATAGATCGATGGTAGCCTTATGATCACCTTTCACGACAGGTGGCCCTTCATCTTCCTCGTCCAAGATCACATCAGGATGATCACTCGGATTATCTCTGATCGGAATTCCTCCATAGGTAGTCCTGACGGCTTTACGCTTCTGCTTCCTTACCCGCTCCTAGACATGTTTGGACGTGTTCTTTGGCTGATCATCTTCATCCTTATTCTTTGATAACATTGTTACCTGCAAAACAGAAACAGCAAAAGGGAACTTCTACGCAGGTTTGGTTCTAGCCACTCTCTCTAATTTATAGCAAAAAGAAGACTCTAGATGATCTTAGTGGGCTCTAGGGTTAATTGTAACCGATGAACCCTACTTATGGGTTGTGGCTAGGAACACAATTTCTCATTGGATGAAGATAGCGGTGGAAGGGAATAGACTCGACGTGTAACGCTTCTCAAGGGTTTTTATGAGTATAAATTAAATGAGAGAAGGTTTGAGAATTAATTTGAGTTGACAGACAGAGATTTGGATTTCTGAGAGGATATTTAGGATTTGA